AGCTTAACAAACAAATTTAGACTTTAGAAATACATAAACATAAAGAGATCAAAACAAACATAAAGTAGAATTAGAGCAATGTTTTAGTATTTTATTGTTTTGAAATAGTCCTAAACATTAGATTGCAACATTGTCATCAAAATAAAGATGAGTTGACAACTACTACTTTGTCTTAAATTTCTTTTAATATGTTGGGATGAAATAAAACCAGGATAGTTAGTGCAAAAGTCCTGCACATCAATTGACCTCTTCATGCCAACTTCATGGACTACAGAAAAGAGAACCTGGCCAGCAACTTGCCTCTGTGTCTATTGTAGGGAAAGAACTTTAATGAACCTGTGTAAATCTCTGGCATCATAAAATGATAATCATCATTTTATATAACCTCATCATGCAACTATATCCAGTGTATGACATAAAAATGACTTTAAAAAAGCATATGTGTCTGAGCCTAGGTTTTTATTCTTCAAAAAGGAATTAAACAATTTTACCTAGTGGAAGTAATGAAATTGTGTCTTTCTTCCAATAGAAAAAAAAAATAGCAGCATGATGTTCCTTAGTAAGATAAGAATTATTTTTGACAGAAAAGATAAAATAGCTAATGCTTCTATGGTAACTTTAAATTTATAAAGTATTTTCCTGTGTTATGATTTGTGATCTTCATGACAAACTGGTTGAGTAGAAATTATTTCATCCTACGTCCCAGAGCAGTGAAGCTCACAAAAGTGATTTAATGGGGTTGCTCAGCTAGTCTGGGGAGGGGTCAGTATTCAAGTCTTCCCTTTTCTTGTAAAATTCATGGGTAGCAATATATACTTTGGAAGTCAGATGGGCTGAGTAATGTTCTGGGTTGGGCTAAACCCAGGAGAGGTTGGCTAAAGCTCTGGACATCCATTCTGATTCTTCATTATTTGAGCTATCTTCCAAGCTTGTCAAATCTCAAATTTTCTGGATTACTGTTTACCACTTCAAATGCACCTTTGCAATGTGTCTTCTTTGTACTATGAGGATACTGATGGAAGAGACGAGGCTTATTCATATTCACTTCATCCACAACAACTTGCATGTAAGACAACCGAAACAGATACTACTTCAATGAATTAAATCAATTCACTTTTGCAAAATATTTTCATTAAACACCTACTTTGTGACTTGTTCAATACTAGCTCAGTCAACAAGACAGAAAGAACTCCAGACTGCCTCATAGAGTTCATGAACTAGAGAAGACACACTCTGAACAACAACAGAGATGGAATCTCAGAGACATTTGCTGTGGAAGTTAGAATACAGGATCCAACCCAATGCAAAGGCACAGGAACTAATTTTCCAGAAAGAAAAATTCCTGAACTATTTAATCTGCATTCTTAGGGCTAAAGGGAAATGAGGTAGACGAAGAAGCAAAAATTACACTAAGATGGAAAAACATCCCCTGAGGCATATCTTACATCCCTCATCTCATTGAACTATCATAACTCAGAAGCAAATCTAATCATGGGATTTAGGCAGGGAGGACAGTAGGTAATCAACAGATTGATTAAAAATTTTTTTCATGTGGATAAATCCTGCTCTCTTAGATCTTTAGAATACATCTTCACAAATGTATTCAGCCTTGCTATTAAAGCAGAAGGTATGTTATGTGATTCTCTGAAGCCAGAATTTTTATTTCATATATAGAGATTTACTCTTCTGTTGTAGCTCAGCAGTAGAGTGCTTGCCTAGCATATGTGAGGCACTAGGTTCGATCCTCAGCATCACATAAAAATAAATAGAGATTTACTACTCTAATTGGCGACTAGCCTGGTTAAGAAACTGGATTGTTAATGGAACCAGTTGGAAAATGTTGTAAAGATTTATTTAGTCGCAGCTGTTTTTTACAACTGCAAATTTTATAGTTAGTTATTACTGTACTTCCAGTTGTAAATTAAGTCTTTATTCATTGGGATTTTCAAGGAGTTGTTATATAAGGTGCCATGAGGTTATATGTGCTATGAGGATATATTTTATAACATCCCATATTATAAAAAAACCAATAATTTATATTGCTTTATGAAAAGTACTTTATTTTTAATTTTTTTAATTTTAGGTGTAGATGGACACAACACAATGCCTTTATTTTTATGTGGTACTCAAAATCGAACCTGGGTCTCGCCCGTGCTAGGCAAGCACTCCACCACTGAGCCACAATCCCAGCCCATGGAAAGTACTTTATACATGTAATTAAAACGTGATATTCTTGCAGCCTACCTGGTAAAAACTGGTTCAAAACTCATGTATATACATAAACTTCCAGAAGGACACATTTTCATTATATGTGGATAAGTACTGAACAATCATTGAGTAATCCCAATGGGATAGTGTTACATAATGAATTATGTACTTGCAAATTCATATTTTGAAACCCTAACTAACTCCTAGGACCTTAGAATGTGACTGAGTTTGGAGATGAAGTCTTTAAAAAGGCAATTAAGATTAAACAAGGTCATAACAGGTAGGGTGCTAGTTCATAGGCCTGATGTCTTCATGAGAAGAAGAGACAGCAGGAGTGCGTGGGCAGAGAAAATGTCATGTGAGGACAGAAAGGTGGCAATCTGTAAGCCAAGGAGAGAGGCCTCCAGAGAAACCAAACCACCAGCACACAGACCTCAGACATGCAGCGTCCAGAGCTGTAAGATGAACTTCTGTCATTTCAGCCACTAGGTCCAGGGTGTTTTGTCATGGTAGCCTGGTATGACTGAATTGTGTCCTCCCAGATTTAGATATTGAGGCTGTAGCCCCAATCTGAATATCTTTGGAATAGGGTCTATATAGAGATAATTAGGATTATGTAAAGTCATAAGGGTTAGTCCCAAATCCAATGAGACTGACATCCTTATAACAAAAGGAAAATATACCAGGAGTGAGTGGCAGAGAAATGGCCATGTGAGTGAGATCATCCAAAGCCTACAAGAGATGCCAACACCAGGAACAAATTTTCTAGCAACTTGACCTTAGACTTCTTGCCTCCAATAATGTGAGAAAATTACTTTTTATCATTTGAACCAACTAGTTTATTTTTGCTATGGCAACTCCAGAAAACTACACAGATACATATTTTATGGTCATAAATATACATGTACAAGTATATGCATGCTGACTGTCCAGGTAGCATCAAATTATTTAGATTTCTATTTGAAAACAGTGAGAAAGATTTTATTATGACTTTACAAATTGGAATTTTTGCGAGATTAAAAATGAGGATGAATAATTTATGTTTTTGTAGCCAGATTGTATCTGAATATTAATTAGAAAAAAGAATTGTTTTCAAGAAGTGAAGTCAATGTATGGATACCTTCAAATTTATAAACAAAACATGTTTTGGACCTATTCACAAGTTTATTATTTCAGCTTCTAGAGACAATAAAAAATCTTGGGCTTATCTTACCTACAACCGCCAAAGAATATTACATTTGGACTCTTCTGTTTCAAATTAAACTTTTCTTATATAGCCATTATCTTTTGTCATTTATCAAGTTACCTTAAGAAGCTTTTTGTGGGCTTAATTAAGTATGACTAATTTTCCAATGGTACAAAGAAAAATTAATTCCTTAAATATTTAATCCATTTATGACTCAAAGTGTCATTTTCTGAATGCGGCTATTCAATTCTTAGAATTAATTACCCTTTGAATTAAAGCTGATTTTTCAGACTTTCAAGACATATAGTCACATCTCATAACACTGCTTAAATTCAACACTTCATCTGCTCATCGAGAAAATGTATTCTGAATGCTGTATTCAAAATCACAATCTGACCATGGAACTAAGGCTTTTTTTTTTTTTTTTGTAAGTTGGTAATGACCAAGTGTGCCTTCATCCTCACCTCCATTCTTACTTAGGTTTCCCTCTCCTTTCCCTTCATTCAGGTGTGAGTTAAAAGTTAGCTGCCTTCTATTTGCAAAATCACTATTCTTCTTCATTGTAACTGTGTTCTCCTCAGCTCATCCTGAACCTCGCCTGCTTCCGAAAGTCATTCCCCAGGGAAGACAGTAGACCGCACAGTCATTGACCCCTCCCTGCCTCCTGTATCACTGTGGAACATGGAAAGCATCCAGGACTTAATTACACAGCGCCTATTTGTTCTCCCCAACTATGTTTGAAGGCTATCCAAAACCAGAAGCAATGTTCTTCAAGAGGATATTCCCTAGAACACAAGGGGATCTTAAATAGGAGCATCTAACACCCCCCAGAAGTGGACTCCAGATTCCCATACAAGAAAACTGCAGGACTGAGCACGAGGCACCGGGAAACCACATGTGCATACTTGAGCAGCCACACAGGAAAGATAACCACATGGGCGCGAATCCTGAGAGCTCAGGGATTCATTAGTGCTCAGTGGGCATGTAACCAGCACTGAGATTATAAAATGTGCTGCTTGACTCAAGTTCCAAAGGTGAACAATCCCTCTGACTGAAATTCAAATCCCCTAAGGTACATCAAAACATCGCACCATTATAAATTAGTATTTAGTGCTCACATGTACAAGTGTGAATCGAGGGGGAAATTTATCTCTAGATATCGTTTTCTAGCAATAGCAATAGCATCGGTAACTGAAAAAATATTTCCAGAATAATTCATTGAGCAGTCTTCTTTTCCTTCCACCACTCCTCCCACACACCTTTGATTTATTTTTTTTTAATTTTTTATTGTTGGTTGTTCAAAACATTACATAGTTCTTGACATCTCATATTTCACACTTTGATTCAAGTGGGTTATGAACTCCCATACACCTTTGATTTAATAGACAATTATTTACATTGCAAATATGAAACACAAAATGGCATGTTAGAATTTCTAGTTCCAGCCACTTTCAATTGCTTTGAAATAAAATGCATTTGTTGAAAAGAGAACTAGGAAAAAAATGAATTAAACACACTAAACTCCTGGTGGCTATGCAAATAGAAGTTGCCAGCCCTGGACAGTAGGCAAGTTGGGCCAGAACGGGCATCATGGCAGGGTACCTACCACCTTTCATCATCCCCACTTCATAGCATTTGCGGAGCCGGCAGGCCTGGCAGCTCTTCCTCCTGTTTTTATCAATCGTGCACTGGTTGGTAGCTGGACACATGTAGTCATTATGCCCTATTAAAAGCAAGAGGACAGAATTAACATTATTTCAAGGACTTTACAGGGAAACTGTTGGATGATGTTTTCATATCACTAACTTGGCTTTCCCAAGTTGCCACCTTGATCTGCCCTCCTTCTCTCCATGCTAAGTGCAAATAAACCTCAGCTGGACTTAATTTCTACCTCAGCCGATTGCTCCAGGAGGTCTTTGGACAATCACCTTCTGGAAGCTCACACAGCCTAGATAGAGCTGTATCACGTCTCACCTGGGCCCCGAAGGTCAAGGTTCTCGGTAGGTGAGATGTTTTGTCTGGGTTTTGTGTTTTTACCCAGGCCACTCAATAAAATTGTCCAAATAGAGCTGCTAGAAATCAGATTTTAATAATGAGTTTCAAGGTGGTCCTTCCTAAAACATAAATTAAAGGATCTTTAATTAGATACTCAAATGAAACACAGAAGACCTAAATTCAAGCAGGAGGGTGCTGGGTGTCCCCAAGGCTCACCCTTGAGTTAGTCGGTCACTTACTCACTGGAGGGTGCAGAGCAAACTGCTGGACATCTCTGAGCCTCCCTTTCCTTCTCTCTAACCTAGAGACGATATGGTGTTCACTACCTAAATTATTGTAAGACTCAAATGTGAGAATACATGTCCACATGCTTGCATCCAGTCAATCACAGGAAGTTTCTACTCTAAGTTTCAGAAGTCACCTCCACTTCTTTATCCATTAAAAGAACTCTGGTTTGTATTGTGCAGAATATTAAACTTCACTAATTAATAAGTACGTTTTTATATAAGTCTAATTGTCTTAGGGAAGTATCCTGGATTTAGACTAAGGAAATAATATGTACTGTCTAAAAACATGTTTCCCATTCTCCCACCCCCAAAACTGAATGTATACATACTACCCTCTAATTCAGATTCTCTGCTACAGTCTTTATCTTCCCATTTAGTAAGGATGAGATGCATCATATAATGAAAAGTTTTAATACAGATCTCTTTGTTCTTTATTCAACATAAGAGCCAAACTTGATTAAATAGGGTGGAGGGGGGGCTTGACAAGAAATGCTTGCCTTATAAAACTTGTTCCTCCATCTTTAGATATACATTATAAAAGTTACTGTATAAACAGACTTCAGCTCAAATTATCATCTGCATTTTTCTATTGCATAATAGAAACCAGAAAACTATTCAATGGAGTTGTAAACTTGGAACTTTGGCAAGAGACCACACACTGCCTCAAATATCCAGGCACAGATACTATTTTTAGAAATGTCCTTATTAATAAGGACAAATTGTGGAAGTAATAGAACCAGGAACGAAATTTGTCTGGGCAGATGCTAACTCTAAGCAAAAGGTGCATTTTTCCTGGTACCATAAAGATATGGTTAGTGTTTGGTCTTCTATGGGGTTTATTCAGAATACATTAACGTATTTTAGCTCAAAAAATGAGTATAAATTAAGTTAATAATGACTTAAGCCAAATATTATGTTGACTCGCTTTCTCCCCTAAAAGCAGGTGTTTTGCAAGCCAGAGGAAGATGGGAGAACTGAATTGGATGACAGGCCAATTGGCTAAACCTTCTATTTGGATTTGTCATCCACTGGATATGCTTATCTTTATAGAACCAAGTGAAATTCTTCAACTAACATGTTTAATACACAAAAAGCACTGGACTTGTGCAGTTGAATTCATTCCTTAACAAGAATAAAAACAGATGCACAACGGAATCACTTCATAATGCAAACCTATTTTGACAAAGCTGGGTTTTCTTTTACCTGAAATACATTAAAAAGCATTGGTAAACTGATGAGAAGAAATATTTAATAGCACCTATTTGATATCTACAATTAAAAAAAATTCTTCTTTTTTAATTTTTAACTTGTTATTGTTAGATACACATGATAGTAGGGTGTATTTTGACATATTATTCATACATGGAGTATGACTTAATCCAATTAGGATCCCATTCTTGTGGTTGTACATGATGTGGAGGTTCACTGGTGGTGTATTCATATATGAACATAGGAAAGTTATGTCCTTCTTAACCAAATACCAACAACAACTATTATTAGAAGAAGAAGACCAAAAATAATATTTTTTTTCCTTAATGAGTATAATTTGGTCAATGGGTGTTATTAAGGCAATTGATTTAATTTGCTTTAAGAGGAAATTCTTCTTTAAATCTCATTTAATCTTGTGGGTAAAATACTCCAGAAAAATCCTATTGAAGTACTTTTTTTTAAAAAGCCAACTTACACCAGTGATATTTGCGAAGCATTCGTGTGTTCACTGTAGAGACCCAAGAATCTGCATACCTGTGACTAAAGGCTGAAGCTATGAGTCATGTTCAGGTGAAGGTTTGAAAAATAATAATCACTATTTTCTTGTCCACCAAAACACAAAAATGACGAATAGGGATGTAGCTCAGTGGAAGAGCACTTGCCTAGACTGCACCACACCCTGGGTTCAATCCCCAGCACTGCAAAGGTAAAGATCAAAAGTAAATAAAAATGAGAAACCTTTGGGGGAATCTATAATTTGAGTAATAGGAAGTAGAGGGACAGCAGGTACAGCAAACAACCAGAGAGCCAGAGAGTGGGGGGAGAAGACACCTGTACACAAGAATCATCAGGTTCTCGGGGAACAGAGGATTCACATGAACTTTGCCTTCAGCATGTCTGAGTTCTTTTCTCTTGATTTTTTCTTTTTCCTTCTCTTATTCTCCCCCTTTTGGTAGCAGATGATTTTTTTTCTTTGTTACCATCACTCAGAAAGTCTACATTTGTTAGTTACGAAAATAAGCAATGACCCATAATCAGAGATTCAAAAGGAATATAAACACAGGCCATATAAAATAAGCAGTAACATGAGAGAAACCCACTACTGTGGGTCTTTCCTTTTACCACCTTTTCCTTAGTACTTTCTTGACAGTCATCTCAGGCCGAGTTTCTTTCCCAAACTTCAGACTTCTGTGTCCACCTGCCCTCGGTCCATACAGACTTGACTCACAGACTCTTCAGAAGGAGCGTGCCCAGTGGGATTGACTGTCTTCTTGCCTCAGCAGTGTGTCCATACCCACCACACCACCACGAGACCAGAAACATGGGTGTTATTCTAGATCTTCCATCTTCCTCAGTGGACCCTCCTTCCATACCCCTCATCCTTCACATGTACACAGACACATGCACAGAGAAATCAAATCCATTCTTTTCTAACTTTTTCAAAGCAGACCAATTTCTTCCTATGCTCACCCTCACTACTGGCGTCTGTACCATCTCCCATCTGGATCGCCACAACAGCCCACTGTGTGATTCCCTGCCTCCAACTTTCCCCTGTCAACCTTCTCACCATGTAGCCAGTGATTTTTTCAAAACCACACACCATGCTACCACTATCCTGAATTATATTCTTACTTGCCTCCAAGGACTAAGGATAAAATCCAAAACCCCAACACAGCTTACAGAGCTCTTCCCAGCTCCTCCCCAAGATTCTCTTCACCCTCCCTAAGGCATTCCTGGGTTCCAGCCATGCCTTCTGTCCAAGTATGCCAAGCTCCTGTCACTCTCAGGACTTTGCATGGGCTCCTTTTTCTTGTGGATACTGCACCCTCCCTACTCTTGCGTGGTGGGTTCCTGTTCATCTTTCAAGTATGCATATGAGATATGGATTCCTCTGAGAAATCTCCTCTGCCCTCCAACCATGCCTAGTTTATGTCCTATTAGCACTTACTACATTAGACTTGATTGCTTTTCTCAATTCCTGGATGGACTATATCTGTCTCATCCATTACCATGTGCTCAGCACATTCTCAGGCACACAGTGGAGCTTAGTGAGTCTGTTAGGTGACCCAAAGAAACATACTAATGTTCTGTTGCCCCCTCCTTCATCCTGTCTGAGGATCACAGGCTTCTTTATATCAGGGTTCTATAAAGAAAGTAATGACTGACAGAAAAGCAGTCATCAAGGACACAAACAATAACAAAGGCTGAAGAAGATGTGAAGAAAGAGGAAACCTTTACCCTGTTAGTGAGATTGTAACTTAGTACATCCACTATGGAAAGCAGTATGGAGGCTCCTCAAAGAGTAGCATGGAACCACCATACAACCCAGCTATACCACTTCTCAGCATTTATCCTGAAGAATTAAAATCATCTTACTTTAATGGTATATGCATACTATGTTCATAGCAGCATAATTCACAATAGCCAATGTACAGAACCAGCCTAGGTGTCCATCAACAGATGAACTGATAAAGAAAATGTAACATACACACAATAGAGTTTTATTCAGCTGTAAAGAGAAATGAAATTATGTCACTTTCAGGAAAATGGATGGAACTTGAGAGTATCATGTTAAGTGAAATAAGCCAAACTCAAAATGTTTGCTCTCATATATGGAACCTATAGAGTAAAGAGGAAAATAAAAGTTGGAGGAATCTCATGACAATTGAAGGGAGATGGGGAGAATAAAGGAGAGGGACCAGAGGAGGGGAAGAGTGGTGGGAAAGGGGAAATACTGGGGAATGATATTGACCAAATTATACTGTTGTATTGTGTGCATGTATGAATAGATAACAACAAATGCCACAATTATGTACAACAATGATGCACCAATTTTAAAAAAAAGGGTGTGGAAAAAAGGAAGCAATGACTGAGAAGATGCTGACCCTGAACAAAGCAATGGCTGCTACAGCTACAGCTCAGGATCCCAAAACTCAGGCCCATGAGAACAAGAGTAAAGATGGCGGGGGGAAGCTGCTCTTCAACACTGACTGGGGCCAGACATTAGCATAAAGGTACAGTTCTTCCCAAATGAGAAGGTCAAGAGCTACATCAAATAGTGTGTGACCCGGGAATTATCTTCACTATGATTTCAAATTTGACGCTGCACTGACATGAGTGAATTTTATGATTGCTCAAAAAAATCAAACATATTCTAATTATTCAAAAGTTTGTTCTTTATAGAGATGTGTTACTGAATTAAAATGTTGTTTCTGTTATCATTTGAATTGAG